TCTCTTCACCAGGCGGAGGACATCCAGTTCAGGGTGGTACCATGTACGACAAAACACGGAGAACATATTCGTCCATGTGACTTAGCCTACTGAAAATGCAGAACGTTGTGAAAGGGAGGACTTACTCGTTACACAACCCCTTGAAGAGACATGACCTTTCTCCCTTGACGGAGCAAAAAGGTACGAAAGTACAATCCACGGTGTCCATGTGATTGACATGACAGACAGGCGATAGTCCGAGATGAGAAATTCATGACATGAAATATATTATGCATGTAAGCGATACCGGAGTAGACAGCTGACATGAAGATCGTGTCTTGTCTGTCTGGGCTTGCCTTCATCGCTCCATCTATCCCCCTACCCCTCCCTCCCCCCACCTGACCACCATAGCCACATTGGCTCGTGCTCCGTCGGTGGATTATCGTGGATTACGCGGCGTGTCCGTCACTCATCAGTCGTCTGAAACCCGTTCGTCGGCATGCAGAAACGTAGTTCGCAAAGTTGCATCGCAGCAGTTTGACCGGAACTAGCTACGTTAGCTTTCAGAGCTCCAGATACAAGCAGCCTCATTGAACTTCTGTAGTGAATCGGTCAGTTGAAACCCGAGTAGTGATTTGCAACTCTGAATCGATACCCAACAAATCACCGCAAACCCTATCAGTCATTTTCTACGACCCCATTCCCGTCACGGTATATGAACTTGGACCACACCCATCGTCAATGCCGCACCCATACCCCACCTACCGCCGCCCACTGTTACGGTACAGTGCGCTGGTGCCACGCTGAACCCGTCCTGGCCACGGGAGCAACAATGGTCAATCACCGGCGGTGGGCGTCAACCACAGTATAATGGGACAGACGGCATTGCGGTGTGGCAGACAGCTCAAACGGAGTGGGTGTGCTGGCTGAGGGAGCAACTGCGGTGGCATGGCACGCATCGAGATATAGGGAGGCATGGGTGACAACGACGGCGTCAAACCTTGTTGAATCATAGCGGAAGAGAACGGATGAAAAACGGAGGTCGCATGTTGATTCTTATGAATGTCATACGTGTTTCATGCCCTATTTTCTAACAGCCAACCAGTGATGAACTGCAATTCGGTCGTGAGGAAAAAAACTAGGCGTGCAAGCTGAGAAGACTGATCGGAAAGTGAGACGGATTCGTGCGTTATCAGTGATCATCAGCATACATCACTGATTGAGAAACACGACTTTGTCTGTCAGTGAAGCAAGTTACATGCAGATAGTCGTTTAACAACTACATGTGTCCAAAATGCGTGGGAAGGTTTCAAAACTCGGCTAAACTTAATCATTTCATAACACACGCAGTGCATGAGTTCGCAGAGTTGAGTATACGTTTGATCGTCTTATTTCAAAACTAAAAAAGTCAGATATTTTTCCATTACGTGATCCCATCAAAACTATTTACTAGCATAGGGCTGGGGCGAGGTGACCAGTTCAATTAACAATTAACCCTATTAGTGGCAGGGGGGGGTTGTTTTCATCCACCCCTCAGGTTTTTCGGGAATATCTCCAAAACCGCTGAAGCTACGATGCTGAAATTCTCTGACTTTTCCTAAAACTAAATTGGGCACATTCCCTGAAAATTTCAAGTTCATAACTTTACCAGGGGCGGCTCCAGAGCACTGGGAATTGGGGGGTCCTATTCGTGAAGCGAGTCATTTGGGCGAAGATCACGATGCTGATGTATTATAACTGTATGCACCAGTTTTACGAACAGTGAATGAAAGGTATCATGTGATAACATATACAAAGTTGTTGTGCATCCTCTTTTGACACGTTTTTGCTCTAATAGGCGGATCCAGGCGTCCAAAAAGGGGGGTTATGTTTTACCTCCCAACATAGGTGCTCTGACACCGCCTATGCATGACCAATACAATTGTAGTTGTTCTCTCATAAGAAAATTGTAACAAAACAAGACCATTGCCACCCTTTTTAGAAACAGTACCAACAAAAACCTTGTTTACTATACTTTTTGTGTACCCCCAATCTCAATGATCTGTATCCGCCTATGTTTTTTGAAAATGCATATTTTTAGGATCCATGTGAATTCCTGGTTCATTCTCTATCGATCGGCAAAAGTTGCGTTAAGATTGGTTCAGAAACCTGGCCGTGATAAACAGTCTAAAATGTATCTGCAATTTGCCCGTTTTTAACCCACTCTACCCCCCCCCCCCCCCCCCTATTGACATTTTTTAATTTTTATTTATTAGAAATGTAGATCACGTTGAGCGAAATCGAATGCCGTTTGAATTTTGAAAATCGGCCCGTTAGATCTCGAGATATCAGGGGGGGGGGGTCGTAAACAGCCCCCCCTGCCACTAATAGGGGTAGCCAGGAGCCTGCCACTAATAGGGTTAAAGCTGCTTTTGGGATGTTTTCAGAGAGCCTTAATCACATCCCATATGACTTTCAAAGCTGATCAAATTTCATCTACAGCTGTGGAAGCCAATAATCATTTAGTGGGCAGCTACAAAATGTCTACTCGGATAGTGACCGACCAGTAAAAATTAGTGCTCAAATAGGACTTCCCATCTCTAAATAAGGGCATCCCTACTGCTGCTTTGGTGCCGGAGGGCATTCATGCCTGCAAAAGCCGTGTAACGCTCCGCCAAAACTCGCTACTGATATCAAAGGGAGTCGGGCACACCAAAGGAAGCCTGGGGCTCAAACGTGCCACCCGGACGCTGCTGCAGCCTTGATGTCCGCTCGCCGTCCGGCACAAAGACACACAAACACGCGCCGGTCGGTATTGAATTGGAGAGCGGGCGCCGGGCACGAGCACCGTCTCCGGCCGTTAGCAGGCCACTTGGAAGCTGAGCGCTGTTGATCGCGGACAGAACAGAGCACGGGACGACAGCGACGGCAATCTGGCTCGAGACGGTCGCCTTGCACACAATTTGCATCCGTCTTAGCGGCCAAAAGACGGGCCGGGCCGACCGCCAGCGCCGTCGAGCGGTCCTCAAACTCATCCACCCCTGTCGGCGCAATGACTTTCCGAACCTCCGGGTAACTGTAGATAGAATGTGGTGCCTGCAATGCATGCCAAATGAGTCTAGACCGACTGACAGGGCCCTCGGTGCTTCCTTTCGCCTGAGGAATTTTCTCTAATCATTGTTTTTTACTTTCAATGTGCAATTGCTTTCTTTGATCGGGGTAATTAAAGTAAATGAACGAATGATATTTTTCAAGATAAGGTGGATTGTTAATCGTGAATACAAGCATAATTGAATACTAATATTACGATGCAAAGAACAAACACAGTTTATTTGACAACAACGAACGTTCAACACTCATAAAGCACAACGTCAACAAGAATTCAATGTCTATTTAAATAGCCATTATAGCGAACTCAATCATCAATCAGGGTAATGAGGCTCGCCTCAGCACCTCCCTCAATAGACAGCGATTCACTCTCGCATCATTTACACTCGTGATGTTGCCCGCCCTGTGGATATATCACCAATCAGGACATGCAGTGGGTTCGCAGTCATGGCTGACGGGGAGAGAACCGCCCCTGAACGAGCAAACGTCAGCTGTTAGAGCGTGCCAATGACTGCGTGGACTGGTCAATGACTGAGGACTGAGGCATGAGGAACCTCCAAAAGAACACGTTCCCTGAGAACAGGAAACGGAGGCCCGTCGACTGGGCGGAGAAGGACGGACAGTCAGGTGGACGGAGGACAGGCAGCTGAACGGACAGACAGTTGGCTGAACGGTCAGTCGGTCAGTCGGCTGGACGGAGAAGGACGGGTAGTCACTAGTCAGGGGGACGGAGGACAGGCAGCTGAACGGACAGACAGTTGGCTGGACGGTCAGTCGGCTGGACGGAGAAGGACGGATAGTCCGGTGGACGGAGAAGGACAGGCAGCTGAACGGACAGACAGATGGCTGGACGGTCCGTCGGCTGGACGGGGAAGGACAGGTGATTAGGCGGAGGTTGGGTTGATTATAAGGGAACAGGTGGATTGGTAAGGCGAACAGGTGAAAAAGGGTAACGGGGTGTTATGTAGAGTCCAATCACCTATCGCCTGGGTAGCTGACTCCGGGGGTATCTAGGGAGCTATTCGTCCCTAGGAACGCAAGCCATCCGTCCCTGAGGTAGAGACTAGAGGTGTCCGTCTCAGGAGACCAGCCGGTGAGCGCTTACCTTGACTGTAACAATGTCCCGCTGGGGTATACGGGCGGTCCTGCTGGAGTGTGCTGGCCGCTGGGGGTCCCGCTGGGTGCCAGGGAGGCCCTCCGCCGACTCTGACAACTGGGGGCCCGGCGGGTCACTGGGAGGCCCGGGCGGGTCACTCGCTGGGCCGCATACGAAGACGCTGTGCCGGGAAAGGGTCGTATCACTCACCCGCTGGGCAGTGGTCAGTTGGGGAAACTACGAGGCGAACGTCAAAAAATGAATTGACCAATGAATGGCTTGGGATGCGTGGGGCGGGGCGGAGCCATGCCCATATAAGGTCATGCAATCAATAAATTGACCTGATTTCGTGCATCCTAGTTTGAAAATGGTAAAAAAACGGCATATGGAAGTATTATAACCACATACAGCCCATACTTACTCTGTAGAGAAATCACCAGCGGTCCTAATCAAATTAGTCACGATCCCGAACGAATCTAGTGGAGGCGGCCGTGATAGAGAAAGCAGCGGTGTTGAAAAAACGTGCGTTTGTAAATGAAACATGAACATTAAATTTTAATTATATTACTTTATCGTTATAACCCTAAATATGTCAGAAATTTTTAATAAATACTAAGCTGTCGATTTGTCAAGTTTTTTATTTTGAAAGTCAAATATTTACGGCAAGGCAGACGGCCATTTCGGTAGGCGTCGTGTCCCTCTGGATTGTTCTTCCGTTCCAGAAAGGTGTGTGTCCCCGGTTTTTATCTCGTGCCGATGCCACATATGTGAGGATTTGCAATTTTTTTAGTGGACTTTGCATAGGAAGACCTGTTTGATATTTTTCTGTCTCTTTTCTAGTGTAAGGTTGCCTAGAAGAGAAGAAATAGGCGGCGTGAAAATGATGGTGGTTTTGAGGCAATTGCGGTGCGTGACGCTAGCGTCGTATATTTTTGCTTTTATTATATTTTTGGAGGTCAGGTATTGCGTTAATATGGCAGTTTAAATTTTTTAAAGAAGTGTCAATGCTGTTAGGAGCAATTTCTTTTCGGTAGGTCCTATACCCAATGTTAAAGGATGAGAAATGTGAGCCACCAGTACATTAAGGGGTGACCACTGTGACACTTGATGGTAAGCAGCTGCCCTTTTTTGTAACATTTTAAAATTTATTCAATCTAAATGACTAATCTATTGCTGGAATTGGCTTTTCCTTGCCTTATATCGGTACTTTGAGCAGATGCCCCCCTTGCTGCAATATTGATATGTGCGTCTCACGTGTGCCTCAGTCATCTTTTCACAGTTAAATATATAACAAAACATAATCTAACCTGACCTCAACTGTCTCAGCCTGTCTGCCTGTCTGTCTGAACTGAACTGTCTGAACTGTCTGAGCCTGTCTGAACCTGTCTCAGCTGAAGCCACGGAACTGCTATTCCAGTTCAAAACCCCATGTTAAAAGTAAACTTTTTCCTGTAACAGATTTCATATGTTTCATTGCAGGCCAGCCGTCAGTCACCTGTGGCGGAAGCCAGCGAGGTGCGGCGACCACCGTCTGGACTCCGGAGGAAGTGGAGGACAGTGTTGAAACAGTGTAGTCCTCAAACGAGTGTTGTGGGTTGATAGGCTTGGTACGGCATCATCAACTTATTTGTTACTGATGTTGGTTCCTCATACAAGCAGTTCGCGTAGAATTAAGGAATCAGACATGTCATGGGTTCGAACGAAGGGGGAATTTTACGATACATATTTTTCCTTTGAATTGCGTCATCGCCGCTCGAGAACATAAGTTGCTTCATATGCGGTGACCGTTTAGGCGTATGGCCTGTCAACTTTCTGCTGCGATGATATGCAACAATATCCGTGTGCGATAATCATGCTATGAGGAGCAATATATCTGTTGGAAGCTCGGACGTCATGCTGGTGGGCATATGTTGGTCAATGTTATATACGGCCACATGTTGGCCAATGCTACAAATGGCCCCGATCAGATAACTGGGTGCTCAATTGTTATTAATGAGTAGTGGCGCATGCAGTGGGCATAGGTAGATAATTGTGCCGAACTGTGGGTGCTTGGGTGTAGCAAATCCGCCGCCGCCCTAGCGGTGACCTTGACCTCCGCCGTCTGTTTCGGCTCCAGAACCAAACCGGCGTAGAATTGGGAGAGCTCGAGCACCCACAGTTCAGCACAATTCTTCACCTATGTTGATGTGCGATGGGAGATGAACACTGCCCGGCGGACCGGCTGTGTTCATTTCCAACAGGCGTCTTGGATCACCATGACGAAGGGTATGCCGAGGCGACGCCAGTCTGGGTATGAAATACAAAAGAAAACAAAAACGAATCAGTGGTGAGACTGCTACAGGGCAGTAAAGAGGTAGGCACGCGTCTGGCTGCGATTTACTTGTTGTTAACTTGTTGCCCCACGATAACTAACTGATCTGGTGGCTTCACCATCGCCGGACCTAATGGTTTTCCACCTGCGCCCCAGCCTTGGACCCCGGAGGGTTGGACTCAGTACGCCAGTACGCCCCCCCCCCCCTCTCGCCGTCTCGATCCTGATGCCGTCTCGATCTCGATAGAGCCTCTTGAAAGAAAACGAGCTCTTCTGGCACTGAGAGCATTGCGAAGTTGTAGCATTTTAGGTGCACAGGCTTACTAACGACGCACAGGTCAGTGACCTGACCTGACCTAAAAATGCGGTTGGTGTCAAAAGATGGGGCTAGAATCAGTAGCGGCGGAACACCTTCAATTAAAGGGGGGGGGGGGCACTGCCGACTTTTGGTCCCATTCTTTCCATGCAACACCCAATAGGGGTAATATTAAGATGCCAAAATCAAAGGGGGCCCCGGTGTTCTACCCGTTCCGCCGCCTATGGCTAGAATTAACGGTGAAGTATGCCAACTTTCAGCTCTGTCCCCGGCATTTTAATTTGATACCAGGGTGAGCTAGGAATAGACGTGTATTCAATTGATTGGGAAAATAAAAGCATTCATAAATTGTCATTTTCAATACCGCCTCTTCGTCGTTTGGACAATACCTAGTATCATAATTCCATAGTTATGTCCGTTATGTCCATCCACGAGGCCGGGTGCTGCCGGCCGATGCTGCCGGCTGTGCAATTGCGTATATAGGACCTGAGCCCGCATTCGTGCGAACCGAAAGTGCACACAAGGGCAGAATACCATTGTCATGTCATGTGGCTTCTGCTGTTCGCACTCCCACCGCATCCATATTTTGATCAGCCAGCTGTTTGCCGATCAATTTATGGAATGGCCAGCTGATTGCCGGTCAAAAAATGAATTGGCGCTGGTGCCCAGAACCTGCAGAAAAGACATTTTTTGATCGCCATTTTCGAGTGAATTCCCTGAGTTCCGTTAAGTATTCACTCAGTCTTCGTTCCCAATGGAAAATGGAACCTACTATGTATTTCAGACCCCGTGAGACCCTGTTTTTCGGCGATAATTTCTTCAGTTTTTGTCAAATTGGCTTGAAATTTTGACATTAGATATTTCAGCTCAAGCGCCGATTTTCATCAATATGGTCTCTTAACAAAATGTCAATATTTAGAGCACTTGTCATTGGCTTGTAATGCTAATTAGATTTTTCCCCCGGATAGAGGCTCGTTCGCTACCGCAGCGGATTGGATGGGAGCGCTGGCCAATCACGTTGCGCCGAGCCCAACTAAGCTCCGCCCACTGGCCGTGACCGCGCTGGGTCTATGCAGGCTCAGTCGGCGGCAGCACCGCGGAGAGGTCGCACGGGGGCCGCGCACTGGAAACATACATGGAATCGACAGGAAGTGCCTGAGCGAAAGCTTGCTCTTCATTTGGGGGAGTTGGTAACCGCTTCTCTCTTTTTGGTATATCAACACCGATCCAGCTCAGAATATGAAGAATAATCAAAATGAGGATATTAACCTCCCCAGAACCAACAGTAAATAGAGAGCTGAGTCATGCACTATCTGAATATCTGAATGAATGCACATTCTGGCGCCTACCTCATGGTCAGGTCGTGCCACTATTCTGTCACCTATGACATCATGCGAAGCCTCTGCACTACTCGAAAATATCGATATGGTTCAGTAGCGGCGGAACACCTTCAATTAAGGGGGGCACTGCCGACTTTTGGTCCCATTCTTTCCATGCAACGCCCATAGGGCTAATGTTAAAATGCCAAAATCAAAGGGGGGCACGGTGCCCCGGTGCCCTCCCCGTTCCGCCGCCTATGATATGGTTGGCTGCGTCAATTGCTGTTTCTGAAGACGCTGTTATACCTAACTATGCAGAAAAACAGAGTAGGATTATTAGTCGCGAGCACTTCCGATTGCCTCAGACATCGCTCCACGAGCTGTGTTCGTTATCCGGGAAGCGTTGAGAAGGGAGCAGAAATGTGATGTGCGATTTATTGCGCATGGTAGAAATGTGACATCAGAATAAGGGAAACAAGCGCATAGGCTAGTAAAGAAATCGCGTCTTTTTGTGAAACTAAGGTAACATTTCAAAATTCAAGCTCTCCAATAGTGAGGCAGTAGGGTAGGTATAACTTGCTTGCAGGTATTTTAATTATTTGCAGTTCAACACGAAAGCCTGGGGTCAAGTCAGTCCGGTGACCTCAATCTAGCCAATTATAAAATGGGCTAGTTCTGAAGGTGTTCAATCACATGAATCCATCTCAAGCATACGCATAAGCATAATAGGTATATTTCATATTTCAACCACACTTCTTAAATGCTACGGTGTAACTGTTTACAATGTCTTGCAAATTTGACGTAGGCTGACCGACGTCTTGCATCAGTTCACAGTCAATTGACATCAACGGCCTTTTTTAATGACGTTCAATCAAGCAAAAATGCAGTCACTAGCCCTGAACTTAGTTTTAAAGTAGATATACCTATCTTTATTGATTGACAAGGTGCAGGTTAATCTGCGATAAATGCAATACCGAAGGCTAGTGCGCTAATAACGAGCGCTAGTTTCTGCTGTATCGTTATTACTGCAACGGCAACCGCAAGGCAGCCACGTCCAATGCGAGCCGCCACGGTCCGGCATACGGCCTTGGGTTCGGCAATCGGCAGCTACTGCCCCGTCGGCTCCACGCATCCGACTGACCGGCCAAGGTCACCGCTCCGTCCGCCGGGAGGGCGGAGCTTAATGGTCACGTGTTTGTGACGTCACGCGTAAGCACGGATAGCCTCTACTCCACTGACGGATTTACGGAGCCGATTTTAACATTACGAGGCAACGACAAGTACCCTTAAATTTAATATTTTGTTAAGAGACCATATTGACGAAAATTGGCGCTTGAGCTGAAATGTGCACTGTGAAAATTTGAAACCAATTGGACAAATATTAAATGAATTATCGCCAAAAAACAGGGTCTCATGGGGTCTGAAATGCATAGTAGTTCTCTCCGACGGGTGGACGCGATGCCGCAAGTATTGTCTATTTTCCCGTTAATTACCCGTAATAGCGATGGCTGCATTTATGCCCATATATGGTCATAAGAAATCCATTTATTGACCAATCCATTTTTGGACGTTCGCCTCGTAGTTTCCCCAACTGTGGTGGAGAGGAGGCATCAAAGGTGCGGCCGCCGTGACTTGTGACCGACACAGCGAGCGAAGCTGAGAAGGTGACGAGCTATCATCACACGGGTGATGAGTGGCCACAGCAGGGGACGGGATGGGGGCGGGGGGGGGGGAGAGGAGGGACAGCTTTGGATAAGACTATAGGCATAACACATAGATAAGATTAATTGTTTGTGTTCAGACCTCAGTTCATACCTTTCGCCATTTTTCAGGCACCGAAATAGTGAATTTGTTACTTTAATTTGCAATGAAATTTAGATATCCCAGAAAATGTCTCAAGCATTATTATCATGAATATCGAAAAACGATTACCTTTTCGTCAACCATCACAACCAATCAACTTCTCTCTCTCGACAAGCCCCGGATGTTTAACACCGTTTGACTGCTGGACAGTGGATCCAGGATGGTCTCGGTGCCGACTGCTCAGATCCGGGACCGGGACCGGGACGGGTCAGCGGGCGCACCGACGCCAGCCGGGGCAGTAAAATTACCGGCGACAAGGCCGCCGGGCCAACACCTGCCCACTGCATGAGTAATGGTGAGGATAGGGCGCCAGGGGACTGAGCTCGGGTCCCAGGGCCGAGCGATTCATCGAGACACTCCTCTCGCTTTTCCCCTCTCTTTGTCTTCGTCTCTGTCTCCGTCTCTGTCTCTGTCTCTGTCTCTGTCTATGTAGGTATCCGTCCCATCTCCGTCTCTGTCCCTGTCTGTCTGTCTGTCTGTCTGTCTGTCTGTCTGTCTGTCTGTCTGTCTGTCTGTCTGTCTGTCTGTCTGTCTGTCTGTCTGTCTGTCTGTCTGTCTGTCTGTCTGTCTGTCTGTCTGTCTGTCTGTCTGTCTGTCTGTCTGTCTGTCTGTCTGTCTGTCTGTCTGTCTGTCTGCGTCTCTCTCGCTCTCTCTCTCACTCTCTCTCTCTCTCTCTCTCTCTCTCTCTCTCTCTCTCTCTCTCTCTCTCTTCCTGAGACTCCCACCCTTCCCCTCTCTCGTAAATTTCCATCTTGCACCGTCGATGGCTTCATATATCAAACATATGGTGAAGGGTGAGACCATTTCCAATATTACATCTTATCGTGAATTGAAACGTATTGCAGACGAGATAGAAATATTCCAAAGTGTCAGGCTCAAATTGAAAGCTAAGGCCGATGCCAATAGAAATGAGAATGATACCACACTACAGCGGTACATATATGAAAATGAATGGTATAGCCATCGTGTAATAAATTATTTATCAGATTATGGCAAACTTGTCCATTGTTCACCACAGTCAACAATTTTATTATAAAAATGATGAACAAAACGTAACGAAGTCCAAGCGACTGAAT